CAGTCTGGGTGACAGAGTGAGACTCCAACTCAAAATAAAATAAAATAAAATAAAATAAAGCAGGCATGGTTACTTGTGCCTGTAGTTCCAGCTACTCAGGAGGCTGAGGTGCAAGGATCGCTGAGGTCAAGGCAATTATGCCACTGCACTACAGCCTGGGTGATGGAGAACCTGACTCAAAAAACCAAAAAAACAAACAAGAATTGAAAGCAGGGACTCAAACAAATATATTTGTACATTCATGTTGATAAGAGTATTATTCACAATAGCACAAATAGCAACCCAAGGGTCCATCAACAGATAAATAGATAAACAAAATATAGTCTATACAGTATATACATACATGCAATATTGTTCAGTCTTAAAAAGAAAGGGCATTCTGACATGTGCTACAACATAAATGAAGCTTGAAGACATTGTGCTAAGTGAAATAAGATGGTCACCAAAGGACAAATACTATATGATTCCACTTAAATGAGATTCCTAGAGTAGTCCAATTCATAGAAAAAGAAAGTAGAATGGTGGTGGCCAGGGACTGGGGGGTAAAAGGGAATGGGGAGCTACTGTTTAATGGGTCCAGGCTTCAGTTTTGCAAGATGAAAATAGTTCTAGAGATGGATGGTGGTGATGGTTGCAAAGCAATGAGAGTGTACCTAATGTCACTGAACTGTACACTTAAAAATGGTTAATATGGGTTGGGTATAGTAGCTCAAGTCTGTAGTCCCAGCACTTTGGGAAACCGAGGTGAGGGGATTGCCTGAGCCCACGGGTTCGAGATCAGCCTGGGCAACTTGGTGAGACCTCATCTCTACAATAAATCAAAAAATTAGCCGGGCATGGTAGTGTGCACCCGTAGTTCTGGCTACTTGGAAGGTTGAGGCAGAAAGATCACCTGGAGCCCAGTAGGTCGATGCTGGGGTAGCCGTGAGAGTGCCACCACACTCCAGCCTGGGGGACAGAGTGAGACTCCAACTCAAAAAAAAAAAAAAGGTTACTATGGCAGATCTTGTGTATATTTTACCAGAAAAAAAAAAAAGGAAAAAAGCTAGATGCACATATATGGTTGCCTGATTTATAAGGAAGGTGACATTACAGAACAGTGGGGGAAGAGATGGTCTGTTTACTAAATGGTGCCAGGTCAACTGGATAATCATATGGTGGAAAAGTCTCCATCCCTCCCTCATGCCATGAAAAAACAGCAATTCGAGATGGATTACAAATGAAACATGAAAGTTGAAACAAGAATGTTTTAGAAGAAAACATATATCAACTTTGTAACCTTGGACTAGGCAAGATACCTTAGCAAGAAACAAAAAATCTCATCATAAAAGAATATATTACAATTAAAAACTTACGTTCATATACCAATGAGAGTGAAAAAGCCAGAGACTTAGAGAAGATATTTGCAAAACACATATCTGAAAAATGACAATCTCCAGACTATATAAAAAACCCTACAGATCAATAAGAAAAGACAGACAACTCGATGGAAAAATAAGATTGAATACAGCACATATCCATATGGTCAAAAAAACCTATGAAATGGTGGTCAATTTCATTCATCACCAGGGAAATGCAAATTAAAACTATCACTAGTTACTGCTACAAACCACCAGTTCAAAAAGGTAGAAAACCTAAATATTAATGAGAACGTGGAACAATCAGAATTCTCATAAATGCTGAGAACTTTGGTAAATTGGTAGTACCATACTTTGGAAGTTAGGAGTATCTACCATAAAACATGTACTACACAGCACAGTGGCACTTTTGGTAACAGCCCTGAAACAGATGAATTGCCGAACATTCATCCAATGGACAGTTGGATGGATGGGAGTAGAAATAAAAAGCAATGGTAACAAACAATCTATAAAATTCTAGTTGACATGGATGAATCTCACAAAATAATGTAGTACCAAAATATGAAGACAGTTACAAGAGTGCATATTGCATTTTTCCATTATATAAAGCACAAAAGCATGTCAAACTAATCTGTGATATTATATATCAGGACGGTGGTTACCCTTTGCTTGTAGGAGGACTAGTGAGGCAGGTAATAACTGGAAGATGGCCCAAGTGGAGCTTCTATGGTGTGATATAGTGAATTAGGAGTTTTCTAACTCCAAGGTTATAAAGCTGTTCTATGTTTTCTTCTAAAAGTATTGTCTTAAAAGAACAGAAGAATAATGAGATAAAAAATATGTGAAGATTTTTTTTGGCAACTATTTTAGGGTCAGCCACCTTTACGAAGGAAATGGAATTATAGTAGGAGAGATTATGTGTTAAAAATGGCACACCATACTAGAGAGATGATGCTAAGTTAAAAAACAAAAGAAACACTGTGTAAAATATTGTGCTTGTTGAAGAGGAAGTCATTCAACAAATATATACCAGGCAGGTTGGGATAAAACTTGAATGGAGGGGGTGACATACACATTACACATGCACTGTGCTAAGTGCTGGGGGGAGGGGAGAATGAACACACAAAAGAAACAAACAGAAGAGAGTAGACAAAGAAAGGAGTACCTGAATTAAGTGCTGGCAGAATGATGAAAGTCAATCATAACAGAAGTATCTATCCGAGAGTTGGTGGTTGCTTTTCTGCAAATTCTGCCTTGACTTAAAATCAGGGGAAATGGAGAACCAGAAACATACATGAAGGAACCCAACTAGATTACTTGGTTAACCGTACTTTCCTTCAACCTTAGTTAAACAGAACTTTCCTTGCTAAAATAAAAGCATAATTTCTTAATAGTTATGACAGAAATGAGGTCTGGAAGGAAACTTGTAGGAGAAACATGGTCTCCAGGTAGTCAAGGAACGAAAATTAGATTCAGCGATGGTAGGATACTCTTTCGGCTTTACTCTTCTCCAACAATAGTGTCAGTCCCAGTCGACAAATTAGAACAAACATTAAAGGAGAGAGGCTGGGTGTGGTGGCTTACATCTGTAATCCCAGCACTTTGGGAGGCTGAAGTGGAGGATTGCTTGAGCCCAGGAGTTTAAGACCAGACTGGGCAACATAGTGAGACCATATCTCTACAAAAAAAAAAAAAAAAAAAAAAAAAAATTAGCTGGTGTGGTGGCTCACACGTGGAGTCCCCCCTACTGGGTAGGCTTAGGTGGAAGGATTGCCTAAGGCAGTGGTGAGCCGTGATCAAGCCACTGCACTCCAGCCTGGGAGACAGAGTGAGACCCCGACTCAAAAAACAAAAAACGAAAAAAAAAAAAAAAAAAAAGGAGAGAGACATGCATAGGTAATCTGAGAAGCATTTGTTTGGTATATACAAAGTGTCTATTATGCACTAAGGTATATCATAGTGCAGTGGTGGAAGCAGATATGCCGACAAATTATTCAAATATAGTGTATTAAATATGCAATGTAATTAAGTGAGAAAAAACTCAGACGATGAAAAGAAAGGTGTGACAATTCTTAGGAGAGTTAGGGAAGGTTTCGTAGAGGTGACATTTAAGTTGGGCCTTGGAGGATGGGTAGGAGTTTGTCAGTTATGTCAAGAAGTGCAACCAGAGGCAGGCCAGAAGCCTAGCGCGTCCAGGAAGGCGCAGAAACTCAGACTGGTTTAACTACTGGACTGTGTATGTGTCAAATGCAATGACAAAATGAAAGGCTAGAAAGGCACACAGGTAGAAGGCTGGAGAGCGCAGGGTCTGCAAAAGTCCTGCACGTCAGAGGGCGATATGACACCCAAGTTGGAGACACGCTTCGTTCTTATTCAGGCTCCACCACGTACAAGCTATGTGATCTGGGCACCTGCGCAGGCCTCAGTGTATCCACCTGAAACATGGGAATAATAGTATTTTCCTTATACAAATAATGGGAAGAACTAAATGACTGCACGTGTATTGATTACTTACACAGCGTCTCGTTCTCATGAAGCGCTAAAGTGGCAATGTATTGTCATTACAGTGATCGCCAGAACAAAGATCGGTTTCTGAGGAGCCCCCCACAGCCTCGTCCTCCTTGCTACGGCGTGGGAAGAAAAGTTAGCTCGGGTGGGGCCGCGCGCACTCTCCACTCCTCCGCCCTCCGAGGCCTCGGCTCTTCCTGCCGCGAGCAGGGCCGGGCCAAAGAGAGAGCGGACGGGCCTGGAGGGCAGGAAACACACCGCCGCTTACCGGGGCTCGGGTCCCGCTCCTCGTCCTCCGATGTCCCGCGGGCCTTGAAACCGGGCGGCAGGGCCGGCCCAATCAGGTCCCTTGCCATCCGCGGTGGGGGACACCGGTTACAGACACAAGCCTATCACGTACGTCAACTCTATCCAAAAGGCATCCCGAGATCCGCCGCGAAAGCGGGAAGTTTTTCCGGCGCCGACTGATGACGTGTCACCCCGTGGTTGGCCGGCGGCGTATTCCCGACAACGGAAGTGACGTCTAAGGTTTGCTCCGCAGTCGCATGCTGGGCTCCGGACCCGACGGGTGGCATGGCTAAGCCGGCTAGTGATTTTGTGACTCCTACCGGATGGCTCCCAGCCCCAGAACTGACTCCCACGTTGGGGCCCCTGAGCGACACCGCCCCGCCGACGGACAACTGGATACTCTGGGCAATGATGTCGCCGCCGCCACCGCCCTTGTCTTCGCCCGGTGCAGTCGGGTCAGAGCCTTCCTCGGAGGCGCGGCCCCCCATGGAGGCCCAAGCTCTCCCCGGCGCGCCGCCCCCCTTCGACGCACAGATTCTTCCTGGGGCCCAGCCCCCCTTCGACGCCCAGTCCCCCTTTGATTCTCAGCCTCAAGTCTGCGGCCAGCCTTCCTGGAATTTCCAGGCTTCGACATCATGGTACTGGAGACAGTCTCCGGATATTTATTCTTGGCATCAGAAGTCCCACAACCCCCCAGGTAGGCTGTTGTTCCTCGTGGTCCCACCTATTTACGTTTTATCCCCGTTCTTCCCTCTCCCATTTCTCCCTTTCTTGTCTCCACTTTGCCCTGCAGTTTTGGAGTCTGGGCATTTAGATACACCCTACTAATGTTTTCTCCGCCTGTTCATTCTGTAGAGCGGTTATTTATTGAATTCCAACTATGTACTAGGAACTGGGATTATAGTAAGGAACAAAAAATATCCTTAGGTTTTTTTTGTTTGTTTGTTTTGTTTTTTGAGTTGGAGTCTCACTCTGTCACCCAGACTGGAGTGCAGTGGCCGCTTCCGGCCACCGCAGCCTCGACCTGCTGGGCTCCGGCGATCCTTCCGCCTCAGCCTTCCGAGTAGTCGGAATTACAGGCATGCGCTACCACGCCCGGCTGATTTTTGATTTATTGTAGAGATGAGGTCTCGCCTGCCCAGACGGGTCTCGAACCCGCGGGCTCAGGCGATCCACTCACCTCAGCCTCCCAAAGGCGCGGGATTACAGGCTGAGCCACCGAGCCCGGCTTATCCTTAGTTTTATGGAGCTTAGTTTGAGGGTTGTGGAGGGAGACAAAGCAAAAAACAATGTCATTGTTTGTCATAAGGAGGGTGGTCTTTGAGTAAAGACTTAGGTGAGTCATTAGAGCCATGCATGCATCTTGGAAATGGAGATACAGGCAGAAGGAACTGCAAGTGCAAAGGCTTAGAGGCAGGAGCTATACATCAGAATGGGTACCAGTGTGGCTAGAGGATTGAGCCTGCAGTAAGTTGTAGGAGACTGCGGAAGAGGGTAGACCTGTTAGGTCCTTGTGGATCATGGAATTTTGACTTTTTACTCATGATATGCGTCGCACAGGGGAGTGACACAATCCAAATGATAAGAGAATTAATGTGTCTGCCATTAGGAATTGACTGAAAGAGAGACCAATTAGGAAGCTATTGCAGTTGTCTAAGTAAGATACATTGGAAATATGGACCAGGGTGAAACTCAGAGGATGATGAGAAGTAGCTGAAGTCTAGATATGAGCATACTTCGGACGTATTGTGGCTTTGGTTTCAGACCACTGCAGTAAACAAACTCACAAATTTTTTTTGTTCTCAGTACATGTAAAAGTTATAGTTACACTTTACTGTAGTCTGTTGAGTATGCAATAACATTATGTTTGAAAAACAATGAACGTGCCTTGATTAAAAAATACTTTATTGTTAAAAAAATGCTAATGACTGGATCCTTCAGTGAGTCATAATCTGTTTCCTGTGGAGTGTCTTTCATCATGGTTGATGTCTACTGACTGGTCAGGGTTGTGGTTGCTGAAGGTTGGAGTAGCTGTGGCAATTTGTTGAAATAAGACAACAGTGAAATTTGCTGCATTGACTGACTCTTCTTTCCTGAAAGATTCCTCTGTAGCCTTGTGTTGTTTGATAGTTCTACCACAGTAGAACTTCTTTCAAGATTGGAGCCAAACCTCTCAAACCCTACCACAACTTTATGAACTAAGTTGGTATCATATTCTAAATCCTTTCTTGTAGTTTCAACAGTGTTCACAGCATCTTCATCACATAGATTCCTTCTCAAGAAAGCACTTTCTTTCCTCATCCTTAAGAAGGCATTCCTCATTCATTCAAGTTTTATGGTGAGATTGCAGCAATTTAGTCACATCTTCTTACTCCATTTTTTATTCTGCTTCTCTTGTTAAATAACCACATCTGCAGTTACTTCCTCAACTGAAGTCTTGAACTCCTCAAAATTATCCTTGAGAGATGGAATCCACTTCTCTCAAACTCCTGTGAATGTTGATATTTTGACCTCCTTTCATGAACCACAAATGCATCTTGAATGGTGAATCCCTTCTAGAAAGTTTTCAATTTAATTTGCTCAGATCCATCAGAGGAATTACTATCTAGGGCAACTATGTATGGCCTTACAAAATGTATTTTTAAAAATAAGGCTTGAAGGTCAAAATTCCTCCTTCATCTGTGGGCTACAGAATGGATATTGTGTTAGAGGCATGGAAACATGAATCTTGCACATCTCCATCAGATCTCTTGGGTGATTAGGTGCAGCGTCAGTGAGCAGTAATATTTTGAAAGCTGTTTCTCTGAGCAATCGGTTTTAACTGGGCTTAAAATATTCTTTATACCATGCCTTCCAGGCATTATTGTTCCATTTATAGAGCACAGGCAGATTAGATTTAGCATAATTCTTAAGGGCCCTAGGATTTTTGGAATAGTAAATGAGCATCAGCTTCAACTTCGTCATTAGCTGCATTAGCCCCTAACAAGAGAGAGTCCTTTTGTCCTTTGAAGCTTTGAAAGTGAACATTGATTTCTCTCCAGCTGTGCAAGTTCTAGATGGTGTCTTCTTCCAGTAGAAGAATGTTTCATCTACATTGAAAATCTGTTACTTCTGGATAACTTGCTGCAGCTTCTACATCAGCACTTGCTGCTTTACCTTTCACTTTTTTGTTATGGAGGTGGCTTCTTTCCTTAATATGCTAGCTTCACACTTCTGCAGCTTCCTTACCTCTTTCAGCCTTCACAGAATTGAAGAGATTCGGGCTTGCTCTGGATTAGGCTTTGGCTTAAGGGAATGCTTTGCCTGTTTGATCTTCTATCCAGACCACTAAAACTTTCTCTATATCAGCAGTAAGGCTCTTTTGCCTTATGACTCATGTGCTGACTTGAGGAGCACTTTTAATTTCCTTCAAGAACTTTTCCTTTGCATTCACAACTTGACTGTTCGACGCAAGACGTCTAGCTTTTGGCCTATCTCAGCTTTCAACATGTCACCTCCACTAGGCTTAATCATTTCTAGCTTTCGATTTAAAACGAGAGACGTGCATTTGTTCCTTACACTTGAATGCTTAGAGGGTTATTAAGTGGCCTAATTTCAATATTGTGTTTCAGGGAAAGGGGAGGCTTGAGGAGAGGGAGAGAGACAGGGAACTGCTGGTTAGTGGACCAACCAGAACACACAACTGTTATTAAGTTCACTGTCTTAAATAGGCATGGTTCGTGGCATCTCAAAACAATTACAGTCATAAAATGAAAGGTCACTGATCACAGAGTATGTCACAGATGTAATAATAATGAAAAAGTTTGAAATATTCTGAGAATTATTATTAGAGGGAGAATAATAATAATAATAATAATAATTATTAGAGGGAGAATTATCCCTCTGTGACTGAGGGAAATGAAGCACATGCTGTTGGACAAATGGTTCCAATAGACATACTGGACCCAGGGTTGCCACAAACCTTTAATTTACAGAAAGCTCAATAAAACAAGGTATGTCTGTATATTTTAAAGATAGGATCACCATGATTTACTGAAAGATAGGAAATGGAATAAAGTAGAGAGAAGGATAATTTAAAGTTTTTGCCAAACAACCGGAAGTATAGAATTGCTGTTAACTGAGATAAGGAAGAATGTGGTTGCAGCAGATTTGGAGAGAAGACCAGGGGTTGAGTTTGGAATGTGTTTTTGTCAAGTAGAAATATTGAATAGGCTTTTGGTATGGAGTGTACTTTCAGAGGAGATCTGTGGCTTGAGCTGTAAATTTGGGTGTCATCAGCATATAGAACTTATTTGAAGCCACAAGATTATTCACGTAAAACTGTTACTCCAGTCTAGGCTTTCAGAGGGGATCTGTGGCTCGAGCTGTAAATTTGGGCGTCATCAGCATATAGAACTTATTTTAAGCCACAAGATTATTCACGTAAAACTGTTACTCCAGTCTAGGCATGGTGGCTCATGCCTGTAATCCCAGCACTTTGGGAGGCCAAGGTGAGAGGATTTCTTGAGCCTAGGAGTACAAGACCAGCTTGGGCAACATAGTGAGACCTCGTCTCTACAAAAAAAAAAAATAGAAAGAAAGAAAAAAATTAGCCGAGTGTGGTGGTGTGCATCTGTAATCCCAGCTACTTGGGAGTCTGGGTAGAAGGATTGCCTGAACTCAGGAGGTCAAGGCTCACGACTGCACTCTAGCCTGGATGACAGAATGAGACTCCGACTCAAAAACAAATAAAGTATTCTCCAGGTCTGTGGAAGACTCTTTGCAATAAATTGAAACCAAATGATGTGCCAGATGTTGGGAATGTGAGTTTGGCCAAGTCAGGTGAGATGGGTTCATAAGTAGAAATCACAATAGTATGACTGGAGATGGAGGCATTTAAGAGGTGATTTCAAGTGCAGAGGAAGTTGGGAAAAGCTTTTGGAAGAAGTGTTTGGGGAGATGTGTAGGACTTGGGAAGAGATACTTTTTGGATAGAGGTAAAGAGATGTCAGTATGAGACAAGTTCTGGAGTTAGCAGTGTTCTGGTATAACTGAAGAAGTGTGTGTGGAAGGTAGAGAGGAAGAGTAGGGTAAGAATAAACTGGAATCTCATGGAAGGACTCTAGGAAGTTGTCTTAGTCTGCTTTGTGCTGCTATAGCAAAATGCCATCTACTGGATAACTTATAAGAGATAGAAATGTATTGGGGTCACAGTTCTGGTTGGGAAGTCCAAGACTGAAGGGCTGCATCTGGTGAGGGCCTTCTTGCTATGCCATACCATGATGGAAGGCATCATGTAGTGAGAGAGTGTGTGAACAAGGAGACTGAGCTTGTCTTTTTATGAGGAACTACTCCCAGGATAACTAACCCCACTCCTGTGATAATAGCATTAATCATTCATGAGAGCAGTGTCCTCATAGCCTCATCACCCTTTAAAGGTCACACCTTGCAACATTATTGCATTGGAGATTAAGTTTCCAACACATGAACTTTGGGGGACACATTCAAACCATAGCAGAAACCATTTGCAGATTTTTTTTTTTTGAGTTGAGGTCTCACTCTGTCACCTGGAGAGCAGTGGTATGATCATGGCTTACCATAGCCTTGACCTTCTGGACTAAGGCGATTCTCCTACCTCAGCCTCCCGAGTAACTGGGACTACAGGTGTGTGCCACCATGCCCGCTAATTTGGATTTTTGTAGAAATGAAGTCTTGTTGTGTTGTCCAAGCTGGTCTTGAACTCCTGGGCTCAAGCAGTTCTCCTGCCTCAGCCTACCAAAGTGCTGGGATTACAGGGCTGAGCCACTGTACTGTACCCAGCCCATTTGTGGATTTTTGAGCCAGGTTGTGACATAATTAGATAATTATTTTTGTGATGTCAGTATGCAAAGTCTGTTGGGAGAGAGGGCTTAGGGACTAGAAGATAATCTGGGAAGCTGGCACATTGATCTAGGTAAGAGATCAAGATTTCTGAGCTGGGTCATGGCAATAAGAATGGAAAGGTGCAGCAGGATTTGAGAAGAGATGTATTTCACAAGGTTCTGTCTTCCTGGTGTGAAATTAATGCTGAAGGAGCTGTATTGGGAGTTTTACTGGTTATATTTCTACACTTGATCTTAGCCAAAAAGCTAAGAAGCGATGGTTATGTTTCTAATATTTGAAATAACTGAAAGAATTTCATCAGGTAAGACTGTCCATTCCTACACTTAGAAGCCTAAACATCTATGGGCATGTAAACTCAACAATCTTTCTTAATTTGAAAATATTTATTTGGTAGCCCAGTGTTAATTTGTTTAATCTACTATCATTCCTAAAAGGGGTAGTTTACCAGTGATTTTACCCAAGTATTTATGGCAATTGTAAATAAAATTTTAAATAATTACATAGTTGCAAACATTTATGGATCTATTTTTTTTTTTTTAGGTAAACATTCTTATTTTCCACGAAAATATGCAAACTGTACTGACTTCAATTCACCTCCCCGTAAAAAACAGAAAAAAAAGGTAATTTAAAAATTCTTGAGTTTCTTGTTTTTGAATTTGACACTTTGGTCCTCATGTCACTTTCCTGTCTTACATTTTTGTCATAATTGTCTTCAGTATTTTGCATCCATTATTTACAGAATAGAGCCTTGCTATAAACAGGATTTTTTTTTTTTTTTTTTGAGTTGGAGTCTCACTCTGTCACCCAGACTGGAGTGCAGTGGCCGCTCCCGGCCACCGCAGCCTCGACCTGCTGGGCTCCGGTGATCCTTTCGCCTCAGCCTTCCAAGTAGCTGGAACTACAGGTGCGCGCTACCACACCCGGCTGATTTTTTGATTTATTGTAGAGATGAAGTCTCACCAAGTTGCCCAGGCGGGTCTCGAACCTGCGGGCTCGGGCAATGCACTCACCTCAGCCTTCCAAGGCGCAGGATTACAGGCTGAGCTACCGAACCTGGCTATAAACAGGATTTTTAAAAATCTTCACTAACTAAAAACTTCTAGAAAAATCATTTTGAGAAGTGGAGAAATTGTAGAAAAAGAGAATACTGAATCCATTTCAGTACAGTATCAGCAGTAAAAATAATTGAGGGTTATGATTACAGATAAATGTAAATGTTACTAAACTTTAATAAAATTAAAAAAATTATTACTAGCAGATTGGGAGGAGAAGGATGGAATCTAGGGAGAAGAATAGCTGTCCAAGCTTTTTTTTTTTTTGAGTTGAGGTATCTACAACTTATCACATCCTTGAGCTCCTGGACTCAAGCAATCTTCCTGCTTCTCAGCCTCCTGAGTAGTTGGGACACAGGTGTACATCACTATGCTTGGCTAATTTTTTTTTTATTTTTTGTTGAAATGAGGTCTTGATATGTTGCTCAGGCTGGTCTCAAACTCCTGGTCTCAAGCAATCCTCCCACTTTTGCCTCTTACAGTACTTTGATTACAGGCATGAGCCACTGCACCTGACCTCCTCTTGTACTTTAGAATTGGTTTTCTTTTTAGCATTGTAGGATCTTTAAGGAATAGATATTTCTGTGGCCAAAAAGTAGTACTTTTAGTTTTTGTGTATGTTAAATTCAAATAAAATTAAATTTAATGTTAAAACAGTTTATATGTAATCATCTTATATGCATAATGGCTGAAATTCAGACAGGGTTTTTTGGTTACTATTATCTTATTTGTTGTTTATTTTAATTCATTGTAATTAAGTTCTGTAGTTATCATTTTTATGAAAAAGTTTTGTTGTTTTTTTTTTTAATGAGGATCAGCTTTTGGTTATTCTTCAGAAACTAAATATTAAAATAGGCTTCCTGACCGGGTCTAGTGGCTCAAGCCTGTAATCCCAGCACTTTGGGAGGCTAAGGTGAGAGGATTGCCAGAGCTCGGGGTTCGAGACCAGCCTGGGCAATTTGGCAAGATCTTGTCTCTACAATAAATCAAAAAATTAGCCGGACATGGTAGCGTGTTCCTATAGTTCCAACTACTTGGAAGGCTGAGGCAGAAGGATTGCCTGAGCCCAGCAGGTCAAGGCTGTGGTGGCTGTGAGTGTGTTACTTGCTACTGTGCTCCAGCCCAGGTGACAGAGTGAGACTCCCAATTAAAAAAAAAAAAAAGACTTTCTTCATTTTGCTATCGTTTACGAATATGGTCTTTCAGATTTTAAGTTGTATAAATGATGTGATTAGTAATAAGTTGAGTACTGTCTACAGCATGAAATTGGTATCCTTCATTTTAGCATGAAAACTATAGCTGATATCAACAAAATATTGTGCAAGTGCGGTATGTTTATTAGCAGCACTGTAGCATTAAGCAGTCAGATCATTTCTTTTTTTTCTTTTTTTGAGTTGAAGTCTCACTCTGTCTCCCAGACTAGAGTGCAGTGGCCACTCCCGGCCACCGCAGCCTCGACCTGCTGGGCTCCGGCGATCCTTCTGCCTCAGCCTTCCAAGTAGCCGGAATTACAGGCATGCGCTACCACGCCCGGCTAATTTTTGATTTATTGTAGAGATGAGGTCTCGCCAAGTTGCCCAGGTGGGTCTCGAACCCGCGGGCTCAGGCAGTCCACTCACCTCAGCCTCCCAAAGGCGCAGGATTACACACTGAGCCACCGAGCCCGGCTCAGACCATTTCTTATATATAGTCTATCATTGTAATTATCTTTTGATGTTTAAGCATGAAAAGAGGAAATTTGGTCTAAAAAATAACTAAATTTACCTTTAACTAAATGATTCTTTTTTTCCCTTTCTGTGGCAAGTATAGAAAAGTATATACAGTTAACCCTTAAACAATGCAAGAGTTAGTTCATTCCACATGCAATGAAAACTCATGTATAGTTTTTGACTCCTCCAGAACTTTACTAATGGCCTCCTGCTGACTGGAAGTCTTGCCAGTAACATAAACAGCCACTTAACACATAAGTAGAATTATATATACAAATTTCATGCATTCATGACATATTTAACTTTTTCTTAATTTTGGGGGTATTTCTAGCTATGTAGTTCATCTGCACAGTTTTCCCAAATTATTGCAAATCTCCAAAAAAACTTTCCAGTATGTTTATTGAAAAAATTTTGTTTATATGTGGACCTTTGCAGTTCAAATTTGTGTTGTTTAAGGATCAGCTATAGTTATTTTTCCTAAAAGATGAAATGCTATTTTTGCTGATTATTTTTTTAGATCATTTTGGGATATTCTGTATTAAGTCTTAGATTATCAATTTGTAATCTACCCATAGTTTATATTGACTCTACTTAGATTCAAATTTTTTTTTTTTTTTTTTTTTGAGTTGGAGTCTCACTCTGTCGCCCAGACTGGAGTGCAGTAGCCGCTCCCGGCCACCGCAGCCTCGACCTGCTGGGCTCCGGTGATCCTTCCTTCCTCAGCCTTCCAAGTAGCCGGAATTACAGTTATGTGCTACCATGCCCGGCTGATTTTTTGATTTATTGTAGAGATGAGGTCTCGCTGCCCAGGTGGGTCTCGAACCCGGGGGCTCAGGCAATCCACTCACCTCAGCCTCCCAAAGGCGCGGGATTACAGGCTGAACCACCGAGCCCGGCGATTCGAAATTTTTTAAATCATGCCTAGCTTTTGCGAATGTGTTTGCTAAAAACAAAAAAAGACTTATCTTTTAATTAGAAATATACTCAGATTTTTCCCACATGTAAGGGTTATGTGAAAAATCAAAGTATGTATTACCAGAAAGATTGTTATATTTTTATTTTGATTAGAGATTTGCCACTAGAAGCCTAATGCCTCTTTGTTTTTGTTTGCAGAAAAGAAAGGAACCAGTTTTCCACTTTTTTTGTGATACTTGTGATCGTGGTTTTAAAAATCAAGAGAAATATGACAAGCACATTTCCGAACATACCAAAGTAGGTTTTCTTGGTTGTCCTGAAATTTATGTAGCAAATGGTCTCTGTGTGTATATTTGATAGTCATTCCAATCTTGTTTTCCTGAAAAAGTTTATAGTCTTCATAGAAATATAGCCTGATGACTTGACAAATGGGTCAGTGACTCTGGGATTTACAGTTTGAGAGTGGGGATCCCACTGCTTCAGGAAGAGGTAAGGTGGCAGCAAAGAGGGGCCATCTGGCAGCTGTTTTTATGTGTGTATCTGCACTGCATGTTAAGGAGCGGACCTCACCTCTAGTTGCCCTGTGCACCTTTATGTGTTCCTTCCCCCTTTAAGGCTGCCCTTGACCATTAAGCCACAGTGTAATGTGGCTGTGCTGTCACCCTCTAAGGATGGTCCAGACTTTATTAAGTAATTAAAAAAAAAATTTAACCAGAATGTTTAAAAAGATAAAAAGAAAGTCTTTAGTTTGGAAAAGTTCTCTTTTTGTTTATAGGAATGCCCCTCAATTCTAGGAATTAAGAACTTTTTACAGTGTTGCTGATGTCACACTTTCACGCAGGTGGAAGAGTAAATGAGATGTGTTACTGTGTCACATGATGCTGTGGGAGTGTCACGCCTTTTCAAATGCATCCCTGGTTTGGAGCCATCTTTGTTTTGCTACTGACCTGAGCGTGCAGTGATGACTCCACATAAAGGGGCTAACTGTGTAATATGTCTGGAAATGTCTGCGTGTATATGGTAGGGTCAAGATAATGTAGCAAACATTAGTCTTTTTTTTGTTAAATTCTTATAGTGCCCTGAAGCAGATTGCTCTTTTAGTGCCCACAACAGGATTGTCCAGTTTCATTGGAGCAATGTAAGTTCTTATGTTCTTTTAACTCTTATTTTTTTTGGATACATACTCTTTATTTTACTGATCTGTTATCTTCACAGTTCTTCATTTACTTAGCCTAATAATAAGTAATAATAATAATACTCATGGAGTATTTTGTACTTTGTAAGGAATTTTTACATCATCTCTTCAATTTTATCCTCACAAACAACTATAGTTGTCTATATTGTCCCATTTAACAGACTGAAAAAAATTATAATTTGCCCAAAGCCTCAGAACTGATCCTTGCCCTTGAGTTTGATGACTTCGAATTCTATGCTGTACTTACTTGTTTGTTTGTATTTTTGGGTCAGGGTCTCACTCTGTTGCCCAGGGTAGAGTGCACTGGTATAATCATGGCTAACCACAACTTTGACCTTCCACCTGCATCAGCCTCCTGAGTAGCTGGGACTATAGACGTGTACAGTTTTTTATTTTTTATAGTGATGAGGTCTTGCTAGTTTGCCCAGACTGGTCTCTATGCTGTTTTACTACACCATGCTGCCTCAGATTGTCATGTGTATTTTTTTCTTAAGCTACCTCTCAGTCATTCATTTTAGACATTTAATGTCAGTTGAGAAAATGGGTGGCTCACCTTCTTTGTAACCAAATTATGTTACCTCCTTTTTCCCTATTAATAGCACTAATCAAAATATGAGAAATTATCCTTTTTCCTTTAAAGGAAAAGTCATAATATGGATAGATAAATCTTGCTCACTTAATTTTAAAATTGTATTTATCATTAAATGTGCTTGTAGAAACCGAATCCCCGAATTAATCAAAAGCATGTGGTATGCTTCCTGATGTTCAGCAGGCTTTCTCCCCTTAGATGCACGCCCCTGGCATGAAGAAGATCAAGTTGGACACTCCAGAGGAGATTGCACGGTGGAGAGAGGAAAGAAGGAGGTGAGTAAAGAGTTGAGAACTGTGAAATAACTATTTTACTGTGGCAAGGCTTGTTGGTGTCGTTAAAGTCATTGAATTTCCTTAAAAAAAAAAAGAAAGAAAAAAATTCATTGAATTCCCTTATAGTGTTGGAACTAAGGAATAGGTCTGTGAGCCATACTGTTTGAGACTACTACAGAATGTCATTTTGGAAGACCTACTAGGAACTCTTCATGTAAATAACAAATGTGTCACAATGGGACACCTAATTGTAGGTGACTACTTGTCACCTATTAGATGTCCTGGCAGAGGCAGTAGGTGGGTGTTCTTATAAAAAAAAGAATAATACTTCGTTATGTTTAGTCTTTTGATTACTTTTTTCCAACAAAAAATTGAGTGACTACTATGTGCTAGACAAAGGGAGCACAGCATGAACAAATATACAGGTGCTTGTTCTTAACTATGAAAAGGTCAGGAATTTATTCCTGTAATTAAAGTTTAAGAAGTTTGAGCCTTACCATGTGACTTGTGATTTTATACTTATTAGAGAATTAAGTTTAGTTGGTGTCTTGCTAGAATATACTTATGCAAAATCCTATTAGTGCATTCTTTTACTGTCTTCTCAGAAAGGACTAGAAGATTTCATCCTGAAGCAGGATACTGAGGGAGAACTAGTAGAATGATCAGATGCATTTTTAGAGTCAAATGCTCTTTTAAATAAGGAGCCTGAAATGAAAAAAAAGTGCTATCTTTAAAGGTCAAGAAACTTGTGACCAGCAGGTCACATTTGTACTTTGTTCAACTTAGTTTAAGTTTTCAGTTTAAATCCACTTACATAGGTAGGGACGTATCAGATGTTGTACTGTTCTGTGGAAAAGTTAAGTGCTGCTCTTTAAGGCTTTAGAGGTAATTCTGAGGGAGAACATGAAGATCAGAACCAACTGAGAATAAACAGAATTTGGTAAAAGTGTGTATAAATATTAGATATTAATACTGTGTGCAGAGGAAAGAGCTGGATGATGAGAGGACAATCAGAGGAATTTAATTTTTAAACAAGTAGAGTACAGCCAGTCAACATGGACTTGGTGGATGTAATAGAATTTCAAGAGCCTTTTATTAAGACTGACAAATGGAGGCAACCTGGAGTAGCATATTCTGAATGCCTTTTTCCCTTGATCTCTTCGGCAAAATCTTATTTATCCTGTAGACCTGTTTTAGAGGTCACCCAATTCATCACTCTCTTCTTACTCTTCATACAATAGTGCTACCAGAGTGCCAGTCTGTAACAAAATAAAGAACTTGTGCCAGAACATAAATCAGTACATTACTTCCTTCATTGAGAAAATCTTGCTAAGAAAAAAATGTTGGCTGAACTAAATATTGTGCTTTGTGACTTAGTTGATTTATACTCTGGTGTAGGTGTGTGGATTGACTGCCAGTGCTGGAATCAAACTACCCCAAAGTTTTGTGTTCTACCTTCTTTGCAGATATGTGCATTAATACAACTATAATAGCATTTGTCACATTACAGTATAGTTGGCCCTAATTGTAGATACTTTGATTCTTTTACTTTATATTTATTTATGTATTTATTTATTTATTTTGTAATAAAGACAAGATCTTACCTGTTGGCAAGACCGATCTTGAACTCCTGGGCTTAAGCAGTCCTTCTGTCTCAGTCGCCTGGAGTCCTGGGATTACAAATGTGAGCTACCATATCTGGCTCAGACATCTTTGACTTGGTGAAGACTTTTGAAGCTGTAGATATGAAGCTCCTTGCCCCTCTGAGTGCCTTCTTTTTTTATAGATGCAGTACAAGTGTTTCCTCTCATGACGCCACTCACTAAGTGTGTTTTTGTTTTGCTTTGTTTTTTTCTATTGGTTGTGTCTTTTATTATTTTGCACAGAGGAATATTCAAACAAGAAGAATTAACTCCATTTACTGACTGAAACAGGTTTTATTTTTTTATTTTTTATTTTTTTGAGTTGGAGTCTCACTCTGTCATTCAGACTGGAGTGCAGTGGCCGCTCCCGGCCACCGCAGCCTCGACCTGCTGGGCTCCGGCGATCCTTCTGCCTCCACCTTCCAAGTAGCTGGAACTACAGGCGCGGTACCACACCCGGCTGATTTTTTGATTTATTGTAGAGA